TTACAAGTGCTATGAATAATGTTCATTTTATGAGGAAAACAAGAACTAAATAAAACCCAAACCCTAACGAGTGTGGCAGCGACTAATTATAAAGTCTTGTGCATGCATACCCCTGGACGTGCCCCCTAATGGGATCTAAGATGATACACGGCCCAACGGACCAAAATACAGTGTCACAGCTCCCTAGCATATTCTAGACGCTGACTTATTTTGACGATTCCCGTTGACTCCGATTGAATTATTATATAAACCAATGCTATTGGTTTGCTTATAAATTATCTTTCCATCATACGTGGATCGTCAAAAATAGGCTATATGTGTCCTGGCCATAATGCTGACTTGTTTTGAGGATTCCTTTTGACTCCGGTGGAATTATTATACGATAATGATATATAGTGGACGTCTGGATGGGGACGGACGCACCCAAGCTGCATCGAAACCGATCCATCCTTTCCTCGCTCCCCGCACTCTCCCTCTCCCACTCAGCCCACTCCCACGTACCTGCTTTCCCTTACACACACCCTCCCCCTGCTCCGCCCGCTCGCTCTCCGGGCCGTCCCCAGGACGAGGACATCGCGTCGGCCGCCCGTGCTCCCTCCCTCGCCCCTCCACGACCTCCATGCAACCCTGCGCTTCCTAGCACCATGGGACCCGCTCCCCCCACCGGAGACGAGGACGACAGCGGTAGCTTCGACGAGGTAGGTCACTCCTTCTCTAGATCTGAGCCGCCCTCCTCCTCCTCCTCTGGATCTGAGCCCTCCTCCTCGTCCCTCTCTAGATCTGAGGGACGTGGCGGTGGCTAGGGTTCCAGCGAGCTCTGGGGTCCTATTCCCTCCTCCCTCCGGCGAGCTCGAAGGTGATGGGCCAGGGGCTGTTTTGTACGTTTTTTTGTTGTTTCTCCCGTGTTGTAATGTGTTTTTTTGATGTTGCAACAGATGATTTTCAAATGTTGCAATGGGATTTTCGGGTCGTTGCAATAGATGTTTTTGTGATGTTGCAGTACTACTGCTTAAGATGTTGCAGTACATAATTTTCGATGTTGCGGGATATGTTTTTCGATGTTGCAGTACATAATTTTCGTTGTTGCAGCACATTTTTTTTGATGTTGCAGTACATGTGTTTTTCGGTGTTGCAGTACATGTTTTTCGATGTTACAGTACATTTTTTCTCGATGTTCCAGTACATAATTTTCATTGTTGTAGTACATATTTTTCGATGTTGCAGCACATGTTTTTCAATATTGCACTACATATTTTTGTGATGTTGCAGTATTTATATCCCAATGTTGCACTACATAGTTTTTACTTATGTTTGCAATGATGCACTTGAAGTGTTTCGTGCTCTTTTTTTGGGACAGGGGCGCGGTTGGGGAACGGGATGCGTTGGGGAACGGGGGATAGAGGCGCGGTGGGGAGCGGAGGATAGGGGTGGGTTCCGTTCTATATGCGGGGGGCGGGTGGTTCCGTTCTATTTCCGCACGGGGGGCGGGCAGGTTTGGGAAGCGGACCGGCGTCCGGACGCACTTGCGCGCCGGACGTCCAAGCACTAGAAGCACCGATTATTATATAAACCAATGCTATTGGTTTGCTTATAAATTATCTTTCCATCATATGTAGACCATAAAAAATAGTCTATATGTGTTCTGGCCATCATTTTTACCCGGGGCTACTTCTGGAATCCGAGATGGACTCCAACTTGAGTTGGATTGGGCCTCCGCCATGACTTTGACGCCCGCGCTTGTCCTCTTGGTCTCCAAGGCTTGTAACAAAAGGAGTGATTTCCTCATCACAATGATTTATCCCGAGGCTTGCATCCGAGGAGTGATGTTGCATTTGTATTGTGCAATACAGATGTTTGCTTGCATTTGCATTGATGGGGTAGCTTTTCAAGTAGTATCTCTCTTGTTTGTGTGGTAATTGCTAGACATAGACTTGATTGATAATAGGGTAAGAACCCATCAGGTTTCGGGTACATGTTGCTATATTTAGTTGGTGGTAGGGGTGCAAAGTCGGATACCTATGAACTAAACTGTCTCCACTAGGTCGAATACAAATGAATATTGATATAATAATATCCTATACTATGTCCGATTTAACTACTCTCAAATACTGAATATGTATTCTGGAAAGACTCAAATATTCAGTATTTGATACCATAGTATAGGATATTAGTATACACCATAGTATAGGATATTAGTATACTGAATATTATATTGAATATTCGAGTCTTTCCAGAATTGGATACGGACGTGTCTACACTTATCTCAGCATATTCGAACTTGAATGTGTATACAAAAAATATCTACCATCTACACCCTTGTTGGAGGCTTTCGACACATCACACATGTATTATAACACTTATGTTACAATCATAGGAAACATATTTTTATTAGGGGCCATTTAGATCTTTGGAAGAATTGAAATCTATTAATAGACTAGGCTTTCTATCGGGACCAATACTAGGATACCCGAAGAGGAGCCAGTAACCATCAATATTGATTCGTCCGAGCAATCAAGAGCGCGACTACAGCTCCAACCAACCCCCAGGTGCGCACACTCCGCCTCGCCCGACACCAGGGCCGCGGGCTCCGCCTTGCCCGACCCCTGAGGGTGGCTCCGCCTCGCTCGACACCGAGGCCGCGGGCTCCGCCTCGCCCGACCCCTGAGGTTGGCTCCGCCTCGCCCGACCCCTGAGGGTGGCTCCGTCTCGCCCGACACCGAGGCCGCGGGGTCCGCCTTGCCCGACCTCTGAGGGCGGACTCCGTCATGCCCGACCTCTGGGGGCAGGCTTCGTCTCGCCCGACACCAAGGCCACGGGCTCCGCCTCGCCCAACCTCTAAGGGCTGGCTTCGCCTCGCCCGACCTTTGGTTTTGGGCTCCGCCTTGCCCGAACCTTGGGTTCGCGCTCTGCCTCGCCCGGCCTCTGGGGAGGAACTCTGCTTCGCCCGACCCCAAGGCCGGAGGCTCCGTCTCGCCCGACGGAGACCCATACCGCCGCCAACCATTCCAGGTCCAAGCGTATGGGCCTGGGTCAAAGCTCTGATGCCAGGGAAGAGACTGGCACGCCTCGATGTAACCCGCGACCCTAACGGGCATATACTGGGGTTCACGTCAGAAAACGGCGTCAGGCGTCGCGGTCTGTATCGTGTCTAACCCACCCGTCTGAACGACGGCGGCGCGTCGATTCACCACGACGTCCGCCAGTATGGAGTGGAGCGCCATGACCGGCAGACGACGCCGACATGGCACCCGTGGCCAGACAGGCGCGACGAAAAAGTCATCCTGTTGACGCGTCTGTGGTCGGCGAGACCCGCATAGAGGAGTACCCAACGATCCTGAAGGACTTCTTCCTCTCGTTCTTTCCTCTTCCTCCACTGTAACCCGTGTTTTCCCTTGGCCTATAAAAAGAAAAGCAGAACGTCCCACAAAGGGCATCGCAAGACATCGAAAACACATCGCATCAATAGAGACTCGAACCCCGAACCGATCAGAACACACGAGCACACAGTCGGAAAGCGACCGAGCTCTCGACACCCGTTCGCTCCTCATCAGAGACTTGGGGCTTGTGCCTCTCTCGACCGTTTGTAACCCCTACTATGAACTTTCAGTTCTAGTAACACGAGCAGCAGCAACGAACTGGACGTAGAAACATTCTGCCCAAACCTGTATAAACCTCGTGTCCTCTTAGCACACCATCCGAACCAGACACGCAATATTAGAAATTTACTAGTCGGTGGTAACTCGAAATACCGACACTATCTTACTTGAAATTTAACATTCCAAAACTTTCCAAAGTTTAGATACAAATCTATCTTAAATTCATGAGCTGAGAGATAAAAATCGATTCTATAAATCCACGTGTTATGTTTCAGTTGTGCAACTTAAAGCATGCTCTCCATGCTATGTTTCTATTGTGCAACTTATACCATACTCTTTCACTCCGCTCCCCTGATCTCCCCCATTTGGCCAACAATAGTATTCAGATATATTCCAGGTACAACTATACTAGCTTAATTGATTTGCGCCTAAATTATGATTATTAGAATGTAATTTAATTTTAAGGATCCACAAACAGCCCCTTAGAGAAATAGAGGGCAAAAAACTGGCCTGCTTCCTGGAGAGAACACCCCCGGGCCTGTATAGGCAGATCGCTAGCATATCTGACACCACACAAAATAAATTCAAATAATAGTAAAGTGCCAAGATTGTGATTAAAGGCCGCAAGTGTTGTAAGACAAACGATTAGCCCAACGAATGTTCATTTTTTGATATGGCACTCAACGTTTTTCAGCCATCTGATAAGTTCAGTATGCTCCTTGTTTTCCATGTACGCGTGCAGAAATGCTGCAAGGTCATCATTCACTCCAATTTGCTCCAGATAATCTTGCACCGCGCTTTGCATTTCCTCATCTAACTCACTGTTCACCAGAACAAACAGGGAAAAGTCTCTCATATTGGCACGTAAGAAGCAGATTTGTCGGGAATAAAGAGCAATTAAATCAAAATGGCAATGAACAAGGTCCTATTGGTTCATGCTCAGATTTTAATTTAGTCAGCCCGTCGTAGATAATTGCTGTAGTGAACATAACTTGTGATAAAACAAAAGGACCTGCGATAAATAGTTTTTCCTTGTTTGTGTCTAACAAGTTAACACTAGTCATTTTTCAAATAAATCACATATTTGGGTATTTTCCACAGAATTCATACCATTTCCTTTTGCAAACAAAAGGCAAACACATTTGACATGTTCCTCAACATTTCCTGAACATCAATTGGGAATGGAAAGGGACTCCAACCATTCCCGTCCTCAAGTACTTGACCTATTTCATGAATGACCGACCACACGTCCACACCATCGTTAGCTCACTAAAAATAGAGCAAGTAGCACATTTTGATCACTTAGCAAGGCGAGTACCAACACCCTAAGCACCAATTGCGAGTAACGTAGCATCCAAAAGTTTGTCAAAATTTAGAGATGTTCATGATTCCCATCATATAGTATCACCTGAATTGGCGGCCGACGTACTGCTGCACTGGGGCAGGCCCGCCGCGGCGGACGAGAAAGACCCTCCGCACCTCCATCTCGTCGGGCCACGCGGAGCACTCGAAGGTGAGCACCACTCCAGGCCGCGCGGCCTTGGAGACCTCGACCTTGACGCTGATGTGCAGCCTGGGCTGGCCGCCCGTGTCCGCGCCCGAGCGGGAGGGAGGAAGCGCGCCGTCGACCAACGTGGCGTCCACCCTGACCTCCTCTTCCTCCCCCTCGGCCGCAGGGAACACGCGGCGCAGGCGGGCCCACTGCTCGCCGGGGCGGTCCACGACGGTGAATGGAGTAGGGGGTGGGGGTGACGGTGGCGGGGCGAAGTTATTGAGGGAGGAGATCTCGGAGCGTACGGAGCGGAGGAGGCGGTCGACCAAGGCGGAGCGGCGCATGTCAGAGATGTAGGTGCGAGTCCCGAGGAAGTGCGAGGAGTTGGAGGATAGGAGCGGGAGCGTGCCGAGGTGGGGACGAAGGCGGAGCAGCCGCCGCGCCAGCGCCAGCGCCATGGCGACGCTCGTCGGCGGCGGGGGTCGGAGGATTTTGAGGGGGTTTCGAGGGCAGCCGAAGGGAAGGGAAGCGGAGCCGCCGAGCTGGTTTCGCCTTTCGGTGGATCGGAGTAGTGGAAAACGGGTACGGCCCAGTTTTTGCAGGCCAGAATGGCGGAACTAAACGAGCTTGTTCTCGTGGGCTGTCCTGGATCGGAAGTAACAGTGTGTTTGGTTCACGGCCGCGGCGACGGAGGAGGCGAGGACGGGGTGGTGGCGTGCAGAGCTCCGACGACCAGGAGACGTAGCAGGCAGGCGCGGAGAGGGAGGGCGGGCCGGCGGCCGACCGTGGAGGAGGGCGAGCTATCCATATGGGTGCCCTGGCCGCTGGAGCCTGTGCAGGCAGCCAGGTACAGCCGTATATCCTCTCTCATCTGTCGTCTCCCCAAAATTGATTTGGTTCTTCACTAGGGTTCTCATCCCCAAATCGATTTGGTCATCGTCGCGCCCACCGCGTCAGCACATCCACGGCGACATGTCAACCGGTCCTCCCCAAATTTCCTGAGCGGACGTGACATTGACGCTGATGGATCCCCAAATTCTCTGACCCGACGTGTGACGCTGACGGAGGCATCCATTAGTGTACAATCAGTTAATCAACTCCTGTCCGTACAATTGTCTTCATTCTAATCTGCTTGTGCATTTTCATGGTTCAAAAGGAATTGCTGTATATTAGTAATTCATTGAACGAACTACTTAATATGGTTCAAAATAGTGACCTGCCTAACACTGATTTTTCACTATATGTGGTTTTATAAGATCTGTAGTGGGACTGACAAAATCTGTTAGACAGCTAAAAAATATTATGGAATGCACATGTATACATATGCATAATACTAAGCTTGACAGGTTCATTTTTCCTGCTCATGCCATTGCACTCTAAGTCCCTGTACGAGAACAGTCCTGATGATTCCCATACATGCTACTTTTATATGTTTCTCTACTCAAACTCAAAGAGACTAATATTCTCCTGTTTCCTAAAGGGTTAACCATGTGTATAATATTGAACTTCTATTTTTGTCTCTGATCTCATCCTGTTCCATCTGTAATATACAGTCTTATAGTTGACCTCGAACGGTAATGGCTGATTCTTCTCCTTTCTTCTACAGCTGAGCATCTCCTCTGTTTTTTTCTTGGCCTTATACGCGACACACAAATATCTTATGCAATGTTTTAACTAATCATTTGTATGCATGCCAATAGCCACTTTGATGATGATCAGCTTTAAATGAACATTGGACATGGCATTGGCACATCAGATGGAAGTTGTTAAGCAAAGTATAGATAACAATACCAATACCATGGTGGTAATCTCGCTTACTTCTTTTTCATCTCACTTTGTTCTACCTGTATATCATGGTTGCTTTCACCAGTTGGAAGGTTTTCTCTGCACAAGGCTTGTTGAATCAGGCATCCCCAAACCAAGTACATGATCTGCCCTCTCCACTAAATATCATCCCACGTCTCTGAAATGCTCCATGAAACTTACTTTTGTTACATGACATGATCCTACTACATCCTATTGTTTGGAGAATATCCATAAATAGAGACAGCCTATTTGTCATAGAATTTATATTCCTAAATATCTGTTATAGTTACTCTGCATTGCCTGTCATACAAAAGTGCAATTCATTGGGATTTTTACATCCGAATCAACCTTAGAATTGTGTGCACTTAGACCAGATATGATTATTAAGGCATCTTCGGCATCCAAAAAATTTGTTTAGAGGATTATGCAAACATAGTTGTCTTCTCAAGTACTGCAGTTGTAGCCATTCAATTTTGCAGATCTGAAAGCCTTACTATCATGCCCAGGCTTTTAACTTGACCTACAATATTTCTATTCGCTACCGATGCTTCTCAAGTACTGCAGCTGTAGCCATTCAATTTTGCAGATCTGAAAGTCTTGCTATCATTCCCAGACTTTTAACTTGACCTACAATATTTCTATTGGCTACCGATGAACTTTTGAAGAACCTTATATAGTGTTCAATATTAGCTGTTGCAGTAATATATATGACTATAGTGATTGTATTTAACTACAACAATTGCACATACAGGGTTTGATATTGTTTTGCCAGCATCCTGGCATTGCTAGTTGACCAGAAAAAAAAATTGGTGGCGGTGTCATGGTGCAATCGTTTGGCTTAAGTAAACCATGCAAAAGTTGTGCTTTGCCAACAATTCCATTTTGTAGTGGACTGTAGCCCTTTCTTTAGCCTTTGTTAATGCAGAATTGAAGGTCCTAACCTCCTAGGTCATGTTAGTTTGTTCACTAGAATTTCATAAAATCTATTTCTTTTCCTGAGTTTTGGTTCAATGTAAATTGGTAAACTGCTAGATGCTATCTGGTGCAAAATTCATGTCATCCTCATATGCCTGATTGAAAAACGAATCCAGTAGTATCTACTAAACTGAAAGTGCTATGTTGTTGTGCGATGGTTGATTCGATCAGTCATCGCGTCTCATCAAAATCACACCCATTCATTCATTTATTACTATTTTCACAGTAAATTCCATACCATAGACTCTCTTTGTGCTTAAGTTCAAGGATAAAGACCTATGTACTTTATGTCGTTCTTTAAGCCTAAACTAATATTGTAAATATAAGTTTCATATTTGCCTTCAGGTTTGAATTGAAATATAGATTATGTGCTAACATGGAAGCAAAAATTATGTGCCTTGGTAGAGCATCGGGGCCAAGGATTACCTGTCCCAAATCCAAATCTTCCCTGTTTGTACTTTTTCCCTTTTTGTTCTGAAATTTTTCATGCCAAGGCTGAATTAAAGTAATCTCTTTGGTATACCTCCAGTTGCAGAATGGTTCACATGACAATATGGTTGGTTCCAATGGTAATAAAAATTATTGAGATGGTGATATGAACCATGAAAAAGAATGATGTATTTTTCAATTGATATGAGAACTCTAGGTTAATTTGTCTCCGTGTATCTTTGTATATCTTATTTATTTATATGCTTCTATGTGATTGTATGCCATTAATGAAATATAATAATTAACAAAAAAAAGTTTTAACTACCGTAAGCAACCATGATATTAGTGTTGAGAATTATTATTTAGTGCTTCATTAGGGATTATTAAGGGGTGTCTTTTCACCCCTCTCCCTTTCGCACTTGTAACCGTTCACATGGGCCATGTGTGCATGTACACTGTTCATTGGGAATACGACGGAGAATCATTTGCATCACTCGATCTCTCTCGTTCTCTATTTTCTAACACGATATCAGACATGTGCTCCCCACTGTCGCTAAAAAGCTAGAAGTTCGCCAGGCGCTCGCCGGAGAGTTGGTCGGTGTCGCTGTCTCCCCTTCACGCACGTTGCTTTCCCTCGGTGAAGAAGAGAAGGCCGTGGAAACGGAAGAGGAAGAGGCCGCCTTCAGCAGAGAAGATGAAGAACGGTGGCTCTAGATCCGTCCTTTGGAATCTAGGATCGAACAAGAATCGTAAACACATATATGAATTTCTTCGATTCGTTGTTTACTTATCTTTTTATTCTCGGCGCGGTGCGTGCCCGATGCGCCTGGCGGCCTTGCGCCTGTGGCCAAGCAGCCTCCTGCACCGATGGCTGACGGTCCGAGCGGCCTGCGCTCGGCTCCCGACGGACGCCAACCCGACGACTAGCGCCGCGGTCCGTGCGGTGGTGACCCAAGTGCCTTGTGGCCAGTTCTGGGCGGGGCACGCGCTCGACGCCAAGCACACGGCGTCCTCGCGACTTCAGGGCCCGCGGCCGATGACCTGCGTGCTCCCGCCGCCGGCGAGCCCGTGGTAAGCGGCCACACGACCGCGCCTCATTGAGGCCCTCGTGGCTCGGTTTGTGCACCGTGTCCAGGCACGGTGAAAGGTCCTTGTTTGGTTTTGGTAATTGAGTGACAACCTAGGTGGACTAATGTGTTTAAATGTGAGATTCGCAGGTGATTAGTCCAGAGGTACTTGTATGAGCAACTCATGCCATGATGGTGAAGATGGCTTGGATTTGTTGCAAGGCTCACACATGTGATGAAGGAGGTCATTGCACATGAGACATGACATTGAGTCATGTGATCAAGGTGGAGAAGATCGAGACATCACTTGGCTTGATGGACCGGTTGCAAGCGTGAAGGGCAAGTTGGAGGCTTTGGAGCAATGGACCGCGTGGCGGTGAAGCTTGATCAAGACTTGGAGCCGATGGACGAAGGCAACGGTGAAAAGCAAGTGAGGTCATGATCGATGCACCAACAAGGTCACGTGATGATATGAAGTTGATCATATCACTTGGTGATTGGTTGGTGCATATGTTGCATCGACATCGAAGAAGATGAAGTGGAATGCACAAGGCAAAGGTATAATCTAGGGCATTTCATTTCACTGGTCAAAGGTTGTGTAGAGAAAGGCATGATAGGGTTTAGGATAGATGGTCGTACTATTAAGAGGAGCAAACATGTTTGCATATCGGTCATCTAGTGCCACTTGAGCGATCTAACTTTACATACGTGTTAGGATCAAGTGGCGTGGTGAATTGAGTGCTAATCCTTTGGAAAAATATTTGTGAAAAGCTAACACATGAGCACAAGGTGGTGATCACTTGGTGGTGTTAGCATATTTACAAAGGTGAAGAAATTGGTGAAGAAAAGGAGGCAAAACCGGGCTCGGGGTGCTGCCTAGGTGGCACCACCACCCCCTGTCCGGTACACCGCCACCCCTGTGGTGGTGACCGGCTGGGAGGCCGAGAGCAGCGTATTGCCCTGAGGACACCGACATTGGTTGTCCGGTGGCACTGCCACCCCTAGGATGGTGCCCACTTGGACTTGGTTTCGAGCAGCAGCAGAGGGATGTCACCAGACATGACGGTGTACACCGCCATGTGCAAGGCGGTGCACCGCCAGGTGTTGTCCGGTGGTACCGCTACTTTTTTCCGAGGGTGGTGAGTTCGGTGCTAAGGTGAGGGGTCACTTCCATGGTCACC